GCAAGATTTGAGTGCCTGGATTCAGCTATGCCTGAAACCCTGACACCTTATCTATCCTTGAACTGTTCAACTATGGACCCAAATAAATTCATAATCTTTTTATTTTTATTTTTTGGGGATAACTGTAAATTGAACTGTAAATTAAGCCCATCGGTACTTAACCACTGAGTCACATTCCCACCCCTTTTTATTTTAAGACAGGTTCTCACTAAGTTGCTTAGGGCCCCATTCAGTTGCTGAGGCTGGCCTCTAACTCGTCCTCCTGCCTCAGTCTCCCAAGCCACAGGGATTATAGGCATGTGCCACCACACCCAGCACTTTTTATTTTTCTTTTTGTTGTTTCTAATCTTTTTTTGGATTAGTCCTCTTTGAATGGCGTTTGTCTCTTGAAACCGAAGGTGCTCTGGGGCTATGAAATCCCTGATTTTTTTTTTTCCTGCAAGGTACTTACTAGGTTCTGTTGTGACCCCTCATTTTGCAGAGGAAGCGATTTGAAAAATCATTTACTCGTGGCTCTGCCTCCCTCTTACAACACTGTCTTTTCTGTTCATGTGGCTGGAATCATATTCCGTCTCGCATCTCTGAATTAGAGTTCTTGGGTCATATGCCTGCCTGTCCCTTGTCCCTCCCCATCCTGTCCTCTCCCCACATTAACTGTTTGGTAGAGCAGTGACCAGGTCTTACTCATTATTCTGTCCATCACAGGAGAAGAGAAAGAGAATGCATGGCTCATTAAATAAAGCAAACAGATGAATGAATGAATGAATGAATGAATGTGGGAACGAACCAACCCAGGACGTGATCGAGGATCAAGAACTCAGCCCTTGCAGGCTTGAGACTTGGCAGGAGCCCCGCGGTGTGGCCGCCACGGGCAGCCCCCTGTGCTTATCAGCTTTGGCCTAACTGAATCGGAAATCACACGCTGAGGCTGGCTTCTTGTGGCTGCTCTGCGCTTCTTATCAAACGGTGGCTGACTCTGCAACTGCTTTGGGTGTGGCCGCCATGGGGGTGACAGCCGGTGACTGTAGACAGTCCCAGAGTTGTCCCTTGCAAAGAGGATCTGAGGCACCTTCATGGCTGAGGTCACACACTCGTGGTGGCCGGCCAGGAACAAGAGTCAGAGTGACATGCCCACTCTTAACCAACCCCGTGACTTTTCTTCTCTCCACTCACTGTCCTTAGAGTTGGTTTTATCTGGGTTTTCCAGGCTGTGCTGTTACCAGGTTCCCTGTGTTTGTGCCTGTCTCCCGACAACCTCACCCCCAGGCCAACAAGGCCAAGAGCAGGCAGGACTCAGCAATGACGACAATGAAGCCTCCCTGCGTTTATTGCTCTAGATCCCAGATTACCTGGTCCACTCATGGAAACGAAGCCATCCTGGGGTGATCAATGCCCAAGATATGGAAGCAGGTGGGTTCATCATTATCACCACGCCTCTGCCCCGATCTGCACCCTCCTCACCAGCCAAAGGTCCCCCCTTCCCGATGGCCTAATGCACACAGCTGCTCCGGCTTCTCAGAGTCCCCTATCCTATGAGAAGCAATTACTTCTGTTCTGTTCTTATTCCTCTTTTCAGGAGAACTGTTCCTTCTAGGCAAAAACCAACAACGAAACACCCTCTAAGCCCTTTTCCTATCCATTTCAAAGCAGTCAGGAGCTTTAAACAAAAATGAAGTCCTCTTGCAATTGTGAGCAATGCCCCTGTGGAAAAACAGATACTGGCACCTGGCATTGGTGATCAGGGTGGAGTGGGGTGAGAATTATTTGTTTTGGACTAGGGAAACCCAGGATCACTGTACCCTTGCTTTCAGCTCTGCCTCCTGTGGGATGGGTCTCTGGGACCATTTAGCCTCTCACACCTGATTCTTCATCTCAGTTTTCTAAGAAATCTACTTACACGAAACACTAAGAAGCAATGTAAAATTCCCTGAGGGTTGCATTTGGAGATGCAGGGAGAGTATATTGCATAACCATCCACTCACTAGTTCCTGGTTTTTCTCTCTTAGATCCGCCCCGTCCCCCAGACATATCCAGGTCCTCTTTGAAACACTCTTAGGGGCTGGGGTTGTGGCTCAGTGGTAGAGCACTCGCCTAGCATGTGTGAAGCACCAAGTTCGATCCTCAGCCCCTTTTATAAAAAATAAATAAATGAAATAAAGTTATTGTGTCCATCTACAACTAAAAAAAAATTTTTTTTAAGGCATTCAGAGCACTCCCGTTCCATTCTGTTCCGACCTTTTAGTTTTGCTACCCCAACTGATGAACCACCATTCAAAGCCCAGACGGCCCTCTGGTTGGTAGGACCCATTCTTAGAGAATGGTGAGAAGTCAATGAACCCGAAAACCATTCTAGAAACAACATTTTACTTCTCTTAAACAATAGGTACAGTTATGGAGGTGGAGAAACTAGAGTTGAAAGACTCACATCCCTGGTGGAGGTGGGATTAGAACCCGGCACTATCCAGGTCACCTGCCCCCCAGCAGGCTGAGCCAGTCAGAGTTCCAAATCTTTCCACCTCACTCCAGGAAGCCAAGGCAGTGGCACAGTGGAGACCCACCTGCTTTCAGGCAATCCCCTCCAGTCCTCACACCCACCACCCGGGGAAGCAGGTGGAGGCAATGTCATAATTTAAACCAGTAGTTTCCAAAGTGAGGTCCCTGGAGCCACAGAATCAGTGTCACCTGGGAATCTGTTAGTGACTAGTACTGTCTGCTGGGGCCATGGAAACGGAGAAACAGGACAGTTTGGGAATTTTCTATCCTTTACTTCTGGTAGTATAGTTCTGCAGGATGTGTGTGTGTGTGCAGAATTGGGACAAATTAAGGTGACAAGTTTATAGGAAGTAGGTTTATGCTTCATATCCAGCCACTCAGCTTTTCCATCATTTTTTTTTTGAGGGGGGTTTTGGGGGGAAGCTGAGAGGAGAGTCAATTTGATTTTAAGCACCATTAATGTTCTCTTTAAAAAGTTTTGACATCTAAAATAATTACTCAAGTAATTCATAAATATGTGTTTATGGTAAAAATACTCAAACATTATAGGAGTATTCAGAGTGAAAAGAGAAATCCATTTCTCTCTCTCACATACACACACATACACACACACTTCTGACTAACAAAATCTTAAAGGAGATGAAGGGGACTTATGTGAATGACAAGTTTGCCTTCTGTGCTTAGAAAGAAGAGACTGGGGCAGCTGGAGACTCACTTTCTCACCCTGACTTGGGTGTTCTCTGTGCCTCAGTTTCTCCATCACGTACACACGCACATGCCCTACCCAAAGATGGTGGTGGCACCCTCCCACTGCCCCACTGGCTGAAGAGCGGGGGGTCCTGTGAAATTTATTCTGGTCTCTAGGATGTATATACAAGAATTCCAAGCCAGGTGAAAATCGCCCTGCTTTCTATTATTCCTGTCTACTCACATTAGGGAAATAAATAGGTTCTAGAAATTAAATATGTCCCTTTGTAATCTAGAGCATGTTCCAACATTTTTGGAAACTATATTTTGGTGCTTTCCCTAGTGCCTGTCCTAAGTAGGACTTCTTCCCCCAAATCCCACAGTCTCTTTCAGTGAAGAGAGGTGGACACAGTCTGGGAGCCGTTTCCTGCCCCCTGGACCATATTCTGTCCCTATGATCTGTCCCTGTGATATCTTCACTTCTCCATCCATACAGGGGGTTTCAGGGCGCATATTTTTTACATGGAGCAACAGAAGTATAAAACTCTTTTATGAATTACATAAAAATATTATAAAAAATAGAAAAAAAAAGAGAGTCCCCCTTTTCCCCCCCTCCCCAATTTCTTTTCTGTCCCCCTCAACACTAACTACTCTTCATAGCTCAGGGTCATTGACACCATGAGCTTGTACCATACATATTGTTCTTTGACTTGCTTTGTTTTTCTGGAGGATCATTTTATATCAGTACATAAGGACCAAGCACATTCTTTTATTAAATTTACGTGAACATATTTTTGGGGACCAGTAACCTATGCACGTGGTTCAGAGTGACACAGAAAATCAGACCACTCCCTCTTTGAAAGCAGTCCATCATGTTGGTGAGGGAAACCTGTAACCCTCTCCCTCCCAAGATTTTAGCAGGTACAACTGTCTCCCAGCTCCTTGGCACCCTTCTTCTCTTGGGTGCAGAGAACTTGGGGTTGCTGTGAAAGATGCCCGGTCTCCTTTTACTTCCTTGTTCTCACGACGTCCTTGAGTGGGAGACCCAGTGGACCCTCTTTCCCTGCCCCTCCCCCCACCCTTCATCTTTAACTGAGTTTCCCGCCACCTCACCCCACAGGTTTCTCTGGAGATGCTGAGCTGGAAAGCGGGCCTGAGAGCTTTCCAGGATGTGGAGGAGGTGCCGGGGATTTGGATATGTATAAAGTACATTATTCCTGTTTCCTTCTGGCAAAGGGATTCATACCAGGAAGAGAGAGGGACCAAGAAAGCTAGGGTCTGTCAGTGAGAAAACTCAGAGTCCAACCCCTTTTACCTGTGCAAATGGCCTAGTCTCTGCATATCTACACTGTTGTGCATGCCACATGAAAACACGCACATGCACACACGCACACCCTAGAAAGACAGGTGATCTGGCTGGGCTCTCCTCCTAGCCTCTAGCTCTGTGTCTCCCCGCTCCTGAACCTCAGTCTCTTCACTATAACCTGAGGGGTTGGAAAGCACATTTCCAAAGCTTCCTAAGCTTCTCAGTCCCCAGAGGATCCTGAGTTCTGGCTTTAGAAGCTCCAGGCTCCAGTTTTACCTGGAGAACGCCTCCTTGGTGATGGGAGGTCCCTTCCCTTGGAGGTGCAGGGGTGGGGTTGGGGAGGGGGCTGTTCTGCTCCTGAGGTCCTGGGGGACCACATTAGACCGGCTCTCCCGCCTTAAGCTATATTCGGGCTTCCTTCGGACAGCCCAGGCTTGCCTGGATCCTGGCCAAGCCACAGCTGCCCTCTCCTCCCTCCGCCCCCACCCTGCCCACTCCTGCAGAGGAAGTGAGGAGTGTCGCTTCCTTTATGAAATGTCAAAACTCCTTCTGAAGTCCTCTATAAGGAAGCCATCCTTCTCAGACATCGTGTGAACTTGGCTTTTCTGGACCTCAGTTTACCCACCCCTCACCACTCCTGTGAGTGGTTTGTGGGGGGGGGGCATATAGCTTAGTGGTTAAGGGCAGGCGTTCTGGAATGCACTGTGTGGGCTTGAGTTCTGTCTTCTCCTTTTTACTGTCTGTGATCTTGGGTAAGTTACTCAACTTCTTTGCTGCTCAGTTTTGTGAGAAAGAGAATGTCTGGTGGTTCATCTTCAGAATATAGTACTCAGCCTTCATTGGATCAAATTGTAGCCATTTTACTTATTTTTTTGGGGGGGGTGTACTGGGAATTGAACTCAGGGATACTCAACCACAGAGCCACATCCACAGCCCTATTTTGAATTTTATTTAGGGACAGGGTCTCACTGAATTGCTTAGCGCCTCACCTTTTCTGAAGCTGGCTTTGAACTCACCATCCTCCCGTCTTGGCCTCCCAAACTGCTGGAAAATTGCAGGTGTGCGCTGCCGCCCCTGGCTTTCCCGCCCTAATTTTAAAATGAGCCAATCGCAGAGATTGTACCCCTGAGTCCTCCAATCAAAGCAATGGGCAGCGCTGCCTTAGGAATAAAAGCAGGTGGACTATGGGCCCAGGCGCGCTGGCTAGGTTCTGTAGCATGCTCTTCTGGGAGAAGTGAAAGTTTGCCTTGACCACCTACTTTGGAGAACGAGTTTGATTTCTTGGCATTTTGTTTTTTCTAACAGCTCCCCTATTTAATAGTGCTGACCTCTGTAAGAGGGAGTCTGGGAGGCACAAGCCCATTAACATAAGCATGGCGATAATAAGCCTGGAAAGCCATTGCTCCTGGCTCTGGGTGGACATTCTCTGGCAAGTCCCTGTCCACGGTCCAGTAACAGAAAGGTTGGGCCTTCCAGCTCTAAATTTCTGGAGATCCCGCAGGAGGTGCACACACATGGCGGCTATGTCCACAGCTACTTTACACAGGACACACACTCAGAGGTACAGAGGCTCAGAGGTGCTGATCTGAGCCAAGACGCAAGTGTACCTGCACAGGGGACAGAGAGAAATAATGAACACTTGGGGACACAGTCAGCCACCTGCTTGCTTTCCCTCAGAATGAAGCAGAAGGCACCTTATTCCAGGGACAGCAGCAGTGTCCTTTACCCCAACCTTTCAGGTAGGATTGGGGGAAAAGAGGGATTCAGAAAGATGGGGAAAAGTGGGGAGTCTATTCTCCCCCAGGGAAGAGGACCACCTCCCAGTGCTGGAGTGGGTGGTGACTGTGACAATAGGGGAGGGGAATCTGAAGCCCCCCTCCCCAGCTGCTCCAGGCAGGCTGGGTCCAGATGCATCTCCTGTGTGTGACTGCAGGGACTGGAACCTTCTTTCCAGCCTGACTTTAAGCAGATGGAGGAGGCTGTTGGCTTTCCTGCCCCAGGGGCTGCGGAGGGCACTTTAGCTGGAAGGCAGCAGGGACCCTAACTTGGATCTCTGGGGGAGATCCCAGGATGGTGATGGACCACTGCCTTCGGGCCCCTGCAGGAAGCACTAAGCTGCCAGAGGACAAACAAGTCGAGGAGCCATTGTTTTTAGAGAAGCCTCCTTTTCAGGAAGGCTTCAAGGTCCCTGCTCAGCTGGCCAAGGTCCTTTGACTTTCTGCTTCCAGGGATCTCCTGGGGCCAAGCCGTTTCCTGGATAACAGTCTAGAAAGCGCCATCCCCATTTACATAACTTCCTCTCCTAAAACCTACCGTCCCCTAAAAATAGACACTGCATCCCCTTCGCAGGTGAGGAAATGAAGCTTAGGGATGTGTGAGGTGGCCTGGGTTGCACAAAGCGGTGGCAGTTTCTGCTCCTGCCAGGCCTCCCTACCATCAGAGGGCTGGTGTGAGAGAGCACCTCTACTGGCCAAGGGAGCAGAGGGAGTGAAGGCTGCAGGGATCCCTCCAGGTGCAGGAGGGAATCACAGAGGTGGAGTGGGGGAGGGGGAGGGACAACACCCCTTTGACAGCCCCAACCTTGAGACCCTCAGCACACAGCTGGATTTTGCTCCCATCACTAAAGCCCACCCAACCTTGTAGGAAGCAGAAACCTGGCAATGGGAGACTTACCCATGTGCCAAAGTCAGAGGGTAAATGCCCCTGCTAGAGATGGCAAGGCTAGAAGGTTGTGGTCCTGGGACAGGAATAAACTGCATGGAGTGGTGCGAGGTAAGAGTCTTCAAGGTCATTGCCAGTTCTCCGTAGTCCGTGGTGAAGCAGCTATGTGGAGGAGGTCTAGCTTGGGGAAGAAGGTGGGGAGGTCGGAGCACAACCCTCCTTCACCTGCCTACAGCAGGACACAACTGGGACTCTCGTCACAGACGCCCAGGCCCCTGTCCCTTTTCTTCAGTACTCAATGACTCAGGTTGACAAGAGTCATGGACTAGATGAGACATCTGGCTCTGACTCCCTTTAATCTGTGACACTTTGGTTCATGGATTGGTCATACATCATGGTGACTATTCAGAGTGGGCGTCAGACCTACAGGTACCCATCTACAGGATAGCCAATGATTTATGTTGAAGCCTGGCCTAAGGAATCTGTCTTCCTAGTGGGGGTGATAATAACCAAAGTATTGCTTCTCTGCCTTCGGCATCCATCAGAATTATCTGGGGGACTTTTAAACTATATGGGCACTCAGCCTCCATTTCCCAGAAATTTTGATTACTTTGGATTGGGGTGCAGACATTGGTATTTTACAAATGATTCTTAAATAATCTTAACGTGCAGGGGCTGGGGTTGTGGCTCAGCGGTAGAACACTCACCTAGCACGTGCGAGGCCCTGGGTTCGATCCTCAGCACTACATGAAAATAAATAAATAAATAAAAGATATTGTGTCCAGTTACAACTAAATAGATATTAAAAAAAATCTTAATGTGCAGTCATGTTTGGGAGCCACTAATGAAGCCAATCATTCTATTTTTTTTTTACTTCATTATGTGCAACATAACAAAGTCTTTGATAATTCCAATATCTGGATCATTCCAATATCTTGTTTTGGGCCTTATGTTGATAATCTTTTTCTTTGAAAATGTGCTACATTTCATTTGCATATTGAATAATTTTGAATTGCATTCTGGATGTTATAGTTTGGATGTGAGGTGTCCTCCAGTCCTGCTTGTGTGTGAGATAATTCAAAGTTTAGAGGAGAAATGATTGGGTTATGAGAGCCTTAACCCGATCAGTGAATTAACCTCCCAGATGGGATTAACTAAGTGGTAACTGAAGGCTAATAGGATGTGGCTGGAGGAGATGTGTCTTTGGGGTATATATTTTATATCTGGGAGTGGAGTCTATCTCTGCTCTCTGATCGTCATGTGAACTGCTTCTCTCCACCATATCCTTCTGCCATGATATTCAGCCCCATCTCAAGCTGAACTATTCTATTTGTCTCATACCTTTTTTGTGTGTGATTCTGTTCTTCTTTTACCATCTTCTTTTGATAAATAATATTTTAGCATATTACTTTATTCCTTTATTGATTTTAACTTTTCACACACAAAATTTTGTCTTGTCTTTTCTAATGAGGCTTTTTCTACATCCTCACTCCATCATGCCCCAAAAAGATAATTAATTTTTTATTATTAAACTATCCTTATTTACCTGGGATAAATCTTATTGGGTTTTGATATATCCTGTTTACATATAGTTGCTGGAGATGCCAACTTTTTTCCACATTTTTTATTGGTGTATTATAGTTGTACACAACGATGGGATTTGTTGTTACATATTCATAACATGCACACAATATAACAATGTAATTTGGCCAATATCACTCTCCATTAGTATGTTAAGGACGTTGTTTGTTTTGTTTGCTTTTGGTTTTTTATTTGTTTTTTTAAGTTATTAAAGACTAAGTTTATGAGGGAACTTGATTAATAACCCAAAAACAAGCTTATCGTGTTTTAATATGAAGGTTATGCTTGTCTCAAAAAGGAGTTGGAAAGAATACCATTTGCTATTCTCTGAAAGATGTTATATGAGATTGGAGTCATTTTTTTCCTTTAAGTGTTTGAAAGAATTTACTGGAGAATCCATTTGGCCTGTGGTTATCTTTGTGAGTTATTTTTTTTTTAATTAAAAAATAATAATGGCTTGACTTTGGGTTTCCAGTCCTGCTTGTGACAGGTGAATAGTCAGCCATGAGCAGGTGCATAGGGGAGGACAAGGAAGGGCAGTAACTTGCTGGGAGGACATTAGACATACATATCAAAGAGAGCCCATAAGTCACAGGACTGACTGGGGATGAAAAAAAAAATTATCAAAGCAGATCAGCATCCAGGAAATGGGAACTGGTATGTCAGACCTCCCCCAACCATAGTTGCAACCACTTAAGGAAACTATCAGCACAAGACCATGTTGCAACTATCTCTTGTGACCAGGTCATCCCGACATCCCGACCTCCCCCTCCCATGACCAGGTCATCACTGAAACCATGTCATAGCCATCCTTTGTGACCAGGTCATCATGACCTTTGAAAAGAAAACTTGCTGAGGGCTAGCTATACCAAGGGTAATAGGCCACTTAAGGGGGTATGAGAAACCAAGGCAAGAACACAGGAACTCAAAACCAGGCTTCAAAAGGGACTTAGAAACCCAGACTCCATAAGATTGACGCCATTCTCTCCAGAGATGGTCCACTCAGTGCCTAAGCTGTATGTCCTTGTCCTCATTATTGCTAAAAAAAACCTCCTGCTGTCTTTGTAGATGGCTAGAAATCCTTCCTGCCAGATCTCAAGAACTGGTTGCTACAGACCCCTGGGGTCACTTCAGCTCAGTGGGAACAGCTTTATAGCACCCGTGAGGAGCTTGGTAGCTCTCATTTTCCCATCTTAACATTGTGGGAAAAAAAGCTGAACAACTGAAAGTTGACAACTCTTCATTTTTTGGGGGGGGTGGTGGTGTGGGGTACTGGGGATTGAACTCAAGGGCACTCAACCAACGAGTCACATCCCCAGCCCTATTTTGTATTTTATTTAGAGACAGGGTCTCACTGAGTTGCTCAGCACCTCACCATTGCTGAGGCTGGCTTTGAACTCCTGATCCTCCTGCCTCAGCCTCCCAAACCACTGGGATTATAGGCTGTCACAGGCATGGTGACAACTCTTCTTAAATTCAACAAAAAAACTGAGGTCACAGGACAAACCTTTGCTTCAAAAATTAGATACAAGCTGAGCGTGGTGGTGTGTTGAGGATCCCACACATTTGTGAGTTTTACCTCTAGGGGCCCTCCCAGGTTCTTTTAGTGAAGAACAGAAAAATTCCCTTATGCTTCTAGCATAAGGAAGGGGAAGCAGCCATTTTGAGAGCATTCTCTACCTCTTCACAAAGCCTGTCCCTGTCAGAAACTTCTACCAGAGCCTAACTGACCTGGGAGAAGGGAAATATTCATATCCACTCCACTCTAGCCTTTTTGTAGGGCAATATCAACACTACCTTCCCTAATTGTCCTGTTTGTCCTAAGGGGACAGAAGCAGCAGAGGCATGGGCCCATCAAAGATGGAAACCTAATCCCAGGACTATAGAACACTTCATCCACACTTACCACCACATGAGTGGGGCTCTTGTACAACAGGAGCCAAAAAACACAGCGTACAGAAGAAATTTTAACCCCTGAAACACCTATAGACACAGCAAACAGCAAACACAGCCTAACTCCTAGAGAGATTGACATAAAATCTGATGCTAAAGACCTATTTCCTTTTAATCAGTACATCATGTTGGCTTTCAACAACAACAAGAAAACCCACAAGGCATACTCAAAGACAGAAAAACAAAACAAAATAAAACAAAAAAGTTTGAAGGGACAAAACAAGTATCAGAACCAGACTCAGAAATGGCAGAGTTCTTGGAATTATCTGACTGGGAACCTAAAACAATGAAATTAATTTTCGAAGGGCTTTCGTGGAAAAAGCAGGCAACATGCAAAAACAATATGCAATAATATAAGCAGAGGTGGAAACTCCAAGAAAGAATCCACAGGAAATGCTAGCAATCAAAAACGTGGTAACAGGGGGCAGGGACTGAGGCTCAGTGGTAGAGCGCTTGCCTAGCACTGGATTCGATCCTCAGCACCACATAAAATAAATAAATAAATAAATAAAATAAAGTTATATGTCCATCTACAACTACAAACATATGTTTTAAGAAACCACGGTAACAGAAATGAAGAACATCTTTGAAGGGCTAATCAGTTTGTATATCACCAAGAATCGGTGACCTTGAAGAAATGTCAATAAAAACTTCCCAAACTGAAATGCAAAAAGAAAAACAGAATGAAGCAGAATGGAGACAGTGTGATTCCCCCCAACCCACTCCCCACCAAAAGGGCAAATGCAATCCCCAGATCTAACTCATAGCCTGTTGGCGATTAAAATTATATTAGGAGTTTTTTCCCCCTATTTTATAACCCTTAACTGTTACCCCTTAAGAAGTATGATATAGTTTCTTGACTGTGCCCTCACTCTCGCCAACAATCATATCAACCTCAAAAACCCCAGGTGCAGCTCTAAAATCAGGATGCCTTTGCCTTCACATCACCACTGAGGATAAACTAGAAAGATGATGGAATTATTGGGAGATTACCACAAAAAGCTAAAGAAAAATTTCCCAAGCCCTAAACCTGATCCTCACGTGATTTGTGTTTCTTCTACTTCTGCTCCCACTATGTGATCTTCTAGCAGCTGCAGCAATTCATCCTTATCCCAGGACAAAGATGCTTATACAGATGTGGTGTCAGCAGGAGAGATGGACTGTTTGGCTGCAGACCCACTAGATGGCCCCTCCTTTGGCGTGGAAGTGCTCACACCTCAATAAAAGCCAAAACCACCTTTGAGTTGTACCTAAAGCCAGTTAAAATCCCTAAACTCCAGCCTACTCCTAAACCCTTCCACCCGAATCAAAACTAGGTCTTTTCATTGTGCACAGAGCCAGCCTGATCTCTCTCTCACTGTTCTCTCCCCCTCTCCTTGAGGTTAACTTGCCCAATTAAAACTCTGACTGTGTGTTCCTATCCCCTGACCTGGTTTTCATTTGTGTTGTCACCGGGCAGAAGTTCCCAGCTCCTGCATCAGAATGTCCAAGAAACTGTGAGATAATTACAAAAAGTATTTAAAAGAGAAGAAATATTTAAAATGATAATAACTAAGAGTACCCCCCAATTATTGACAGATCCCCAAACCATTGAACCAGAAATCTTGGAGAACACCAAGTGGGATAAATAACAAAACAAAACAGAGAAACAATAACTGGGTAATAGTGCTGTTTTCCTAGAGTCCCAAGAAGGCTGAGAGGGAGGAGGAGTCCTTGAGCCCAGGAGTTCAAAGCCAGCCTGGACAACAGTGAAAACCCATCTCATGGGAGAGAAAAAAAAAATTCTATGTAGGCATATATCATATTGTCACTGTAGAAAATTAAAGACAAAGAGAAAAACCTGAAATAAAGCAAAGGGGGAAAATATTTATAGAGAAAAAAGGATAAGAATTACTCAGAATTTTCATTTCTTCTGTCAGATTGGAAAATTGTATTTTGATCTCTTTCTCCATTTTATACAATTGCCTAATTTAATTGTGTAATTTTTTGTTAAATTCTCTCTTCTCTCTCTCTCTTTCTTTCTCTCTCTCTCTCTCTCTCTCTCTCTCTCCCTTTTCTAGTTCTGGGGGACTGAACCTAGGGCCTTGATCACGCTCAGCAAGTTTACTGAGCTATAGGACACTCTGAACCTTTTTTCTCTTTAATGTCTATGAGATTTGCAGAGATGTTATCTTTTTTATTCATTATATTGGTAGTCTTTTATCTTTCTCTCATCAGTCTCTCTGGGGTTTTATCAATTAGTATGTTAATTTCTTAATTCAATTATTTCTGCTGTTATACTTCTTTTCAATTTCTTTAACATTGATCCACTTTTTCGGGCACAGTGGTGCACATCTCTAATCCAAGTGGCTCTGGAGGCTGAGGTAGGAGGGTCATGAGTTCAAAGCCAGCCTCAGCAACAGCGAGGTGCTAAGCAACTCAGTGAGACCCTGTCTTTAAAAATAAATAAATAAATAAATAAATAAATATTAATTCACTGTTCTTTTCCTAACTTTCTGAGATGTAAATAATTGATTTGTAGCCTTTACTATTCGATAAGATATACTATTATGGCAATAAATTTCCTCTAAGCATTGCTTGAGCAATTCATTAATCTCAATATCATATCTTCATTATCAACCTGTTCAAAATATCTTTTAGTTTCTCTTTTTTTTTATTTGACCCATAAATTATTTAGAAATATAGTGCTAAAGTATTTGGGATTTTCTTGTAATACTTTTATTATTGGTGGTTTAATTTCAGTGTAGTCATAATGTAATCTGTTTGATTTTAATCATTGGAAATTTGACATTCTACTTGTACTTGAAAACAACGTGACTTCTATCATCAAGCACAGAGTTCTATCTATTTCAATGTGGTCAGATTTGTCGTGTTGTCAGATCTTCTGTATCTCTGCTAATATTTTTGTCTATTTGTTTTATCAGCTATTAAAAAGCAGGGTAAAGTTCTTCACAATGGTTATGAAGACTTTTAATATAGTCACTTTTTCTCTTATATAGTTTAAAGTTATGTTATTGGGTGGGTGCAAACAAATTTATAATTCTGAAATCTTTTTGCTAGACTGACTTCTTGATCTTTTTTCCCTTTTTTTTTTTTTTAGGTGGGGGGTATATCATGGATTGAGCCACTGAACCATATCCCCAGCCCATTTTATTCATTTTTTATTTAGAGACAGGGTCTTGCTAAGTTGTTCAGGGCCTTGCTAAGTTGCTGAGGCTGGCTTTGAACTTGTGATCCTCCTGCCCCAGCCTCCTGAGCTGTAGATTGCAGGTGTGCACCATCATGCCCAGCTGACTTCTTGATCTTTATGCAGTACCCCTCTTTACCTTTTTTTTTTTAAATGCTTCTTGCCTTAGGTATTTGTATGATATTAGTGTAATAATACTAGCTTTATCGGTCAGATTTTCAAGGTGTTATCCTGTTCTTTTGCTTTCAACCTTCCTGCGATTTTATATTTAAAGGCTACCTCTTGAGGGCAGTGTATAATTTTAAAAAGCAACTTTAAGACACTTTTGGGTTTAGAATTCTAGGTTGGCAGTTGTTTTCATCACTTTAGATGTTAATTCATTGTCATCTGGCTTCCATTGTTTCTGTTGAGAAAAGAACCCTTAGATTAGTGGTTGATACTTTATTCCTCTCTGGAAGTCTCTAAGATTTTCTCACTATTTTTTCCTTCCCATTAGTTCAACAATGAGGAGCCTATGTGTGCCTGTTTTTCAAAAACCAAACTGTAGACTTTCTTGGGATTTTACGATTTTCCCATTAATATCCTTTCCGTCTCAAGATCCAATCCAGGGTTCAATACTGCATTGGTTTTAAGGTTGACATAGTTTCCTTGGATTTACGATTTTATCAGCCTTTCTTAATTTTTCATGACACTGACAGTCTAGAAAAATATTGGCCACACCATCCTGTCAAATATCCCACCATTAAGGTTTGTCTGATGTTTTTCTCGACTCAACTGAGATTATGCGGCTTGAAAAAGAATATCAGAGAAGTGCCCTTCTCATGTGATTTCATTTTGTCTTGTGTGAGATTTAATGAGCTTATCAAATCTGTGGGTTGATAAGCTTCATCAACTTTGGCCTCTTAAATACTGACAAAAGCGATGCGGCGCCAGACTTTGGAGCATCACATGTCTCTGCCTGCCCCTCTTGATCTAGCATGCTGATCCAAGGTGCCTGAGGGAGCCAGAGACCCAGATCTGTACCCCAACTGCAGCTTGGAACCAAGTCACCCTAAACCCAATGCTCATAGTTTTAATCCACTGAATTGGAGGTGTGCTTCATTATGGTAATAGCCAACTGATGCAGACCAGAAGCATCTCACAGATCCTTCTCTCTCCATCCCAAGTAGTTGATTTGGGAATCTGGTGCTTACCTATCTTTCCCAAGTCACAGGTGTCCTCCACTATTCCAACACCTCCTCTTCTTTCCCTCCCTGTGGTCCAAGTCTAAAAGCATACCCAGATCTGGAGGGCCACTATTGAACTCTCTTGTTTCTCTCAGTTAGTTGCATGGTGAGTCCATGGGTACCATCCATCAGCAAGGATCACCTTAGGCCCAGTCACTCCCTGAGGCTTGAGAGAGAGGGAGCATCTGGATAGATGGGCTTATATTTCCCAAGTGAAGTGGCATAGGAAATGTTGAGCCTTTAGATATAGCAATTTTGTTTGTTTTGTGCAGGTTTTTTTTGTTGTTGTTGTTTTGTGTGTCAAGGTGTATGATGAGGCGTAAATAGGACAGTGCCGGGGAAATTGTAACACAGATTTTTTTTTTTTTTACACAGTTAAAAAAATTACAAAAAGATAATCAAAGCAATTCTCCAAGAATCTTACTTCTACGTATGAAATGATTTAGGTAGACTGTCTTAACTAGCAGTGAACTGTCATGTAGCAAAATAACAGTAAGTCGTTAAATATGAAACAAATTGAGTTTTATTTAACAATAATATTAAACACCGTACATTAGTTCTTGACCTTGTCATTTTGCTGATTGCCTATGTATGAGTTCCAGGTCCCCCCGAGTCAGGCTATAAGCACATGATGCCAGTCTTCCATCTTCTACCCCTCTGAGATCTTGCCCACATTTCTAGTGAACTTGTGGGGGTGCACAAAATGTGTATCAGTCCATGGAGCATGATGGAGTCGGGGGGAGCACTGGGATTACCTGATAGAGAAGGGGGTGAAGGGTACAGCACCTGAGAAGCCCTCCTTTGAAGCTGACAAAGGCAATTCCTTCTTTGGAAGGTACAACAGCTCACTCCTTACTCCCTCTCTGGGGCGGTAAGGAGTTCTGCCTCATCACGAACGGGGATGGATTGAACAAGGAACATCCCAGAGGCAGCGTGAGCATGCCATGACCAAGGACAGGGGAACCAGCATTGAGAGGGGAAGTTTCCAGTCTTTGCTGAGCACCTACCACAGCGAGGCACTGGGCTAGGTGGTTTGTGAACAACTCTTTTTTTTTTTTTCAAACCCTTTCCAGAAGTTTAATTTCCACTCCCATTTAGTGCTAAGGAAATGAAACTCAAAAGAAGTTATTCACTTCCTTTGGTCCTTTAGCTAGAAGGTAACTGAACCACTACTCAATTTAAGCTTGTCTTTTCTCCCCAGGATCTCACATCCAGAAAGGGGTTCAAGAGAGCATCTGTCCTAGGTCCTGGAAGCAAACAGGTCAAATAGTAGTGCTGTTTTTCAGACAGTCTGAGGAACTTAACTAGAGAAAGGTATGTGTGAATGTGCACATGTTTTTGGGGTGAGGGGTGAGGAGACAGGATTGAAGGTCAAGTCCAGAAAAGTCTCATCTACATTTCTCCCACTTGTGCTCCAGAGTAGAGAGGATGGGACTCCAGACACAGGACTCCCCTGGTCTTTGACAAAGCAAGGGTGGGCCCAGCCAAGGGTTAGGAGAGGAGCCCTAAATAGAGGCTCCTCTGGAGTGCTAGAGTATCAGATCACCCATTGGAAGTCCACTCACCCATCCCTCTCCCTCTGCTGTGAGGAATCTGAGAGGCTAAGAGTTCAGGCTCCTTCCTGAGACCCCCAGAGACCTTCTACCACCACACCTTAGGCCCACTGCAGGTCCCTGGCACAGGGCCACTCAGTTCTCTACAGGAGTAACTTCTGGGAAGAGGAGTCCATAGGGGTTGCCTCGGCTTTCTGTTCAGCCTGGTGCCACGGTCACGCTAGGGCAGAGCTCCGCTGAAAGTCATGATGGGCAGGCAGAGGAGGGAGCAGAGGTCGGGTGTGGGCTGGGCCAGCAGGTCAGGGGATTTCTGGGGTGGTAGGCCTCTCTTCTCTGGCTTGTAGCATGGTGACACCTCACACCTGGGGGGCAGGGCAGGGGTAAGTGCAAGTTGAGATCTCTCCAGGTCTTTCCAGGCCTCCTGGGTAGAAGAGAAACCAATCCCTTCTCTGGGACCCTGTT